ATTTGTGGATTTCCTGGCGAATATTCCGCAAATTGTTCGCGCCACCCGCCCGTAATTTATTGTCATATTCTCGGCTATCAATTCTGGAGGAAAAATGCAGAAAATCTGCGCTCTGTACGTGGAAACAGTCAAATTATTTTCGACGTGCAAATATCGGACTAAATAAAACGTACTCGGGCATTCGAATCATTATAACGTGGAAAATTATAAATTTAATAACCAACTCGTTTTCGGAGTATGTAATTTCAAAACTAATTTTCATATCCTGAACAAATAAAGTGCAGTACGTCGACTAAATTCGTTAATATTTAATGTTTTATTTCGAACAAATAATTCTAAATGTTCCCGACCGATTTTTCATATAGATAATTCGATGCGAAATTAATCAACTAAACATCCGCCTGTATTTGTCCGAATCGAATTCGTCATCGAAATATTATCTATTAATTAGAATCGCATATATATGATCCGGGGAGGGCCTCTTTGCTATCCGATAGCATCGCCATCCCGTCGGTTTTACATATGAAACAGATAGGAATTTCCCGTGGAGAACACTTGTCAATCCCAGCAAACATTCCGATTAAATTATCATCGATAAACCCCGAGCTTTTTTGAGTGTACGGCTCGCTTTATCGCACAATTCACGAATTGAAAATCAATTGCACTGGACAAATTTCATTCAACGCCAAAACAATATTTTTGATAAATTTATACGTATTTATCGAGTTATACATTTCGTTTCGATAATGGTATACAGTGTGAACCATATGTAATGAATACATTCGTTTTCTTAGTTAATAGGTCAATACTTCTTTTTTAAATTGGATTTAGTAGCTACAAATTTTCACCATTAACTGCGAAATATATTTTTTTCATTACATCTGGTTCACACTGTGTATTTGTGGAGTGGACGTTACGGGAGATAAATCCTTTGCATCGGAAAGTCACTCGCAGAGTGCAGGGCACCACGTGTTCTGATATTGTCACGTGGAACAAATGGGGCCCATTAAGAAAGGCGACCTATTTACCCCGAAGACGTTTCTTTTACGGACGTTAGGGGAGTTTATCGAGCCCGGATAAGGCGAGAGAGTTCCACATAAAAAATACATTTTTTTCCCGAAGATATTTCAATTTCGAGGCTCTTACGGTGACCATTAGAAGCGAAATTTTTGTACGTGGACGAAATTAAATAAAAAAACCTGCATACGATATGGAAATTTATACGCCGGAGTCCGAAGGAAACGTGTATTTTAAACACATTTTCCTTCCGCTCTATTGTAGTTATATCAATATTTCGCGCATTTTTCCGACAGAATAACGCTATCGCTCTGAATTGCAAAGTGGAAATCGGAAAATCGTAATTTCGGAATAGTTTCCAACATGGGAAATATGCGTGTAAGTACATTTTGTATGCATAGCTTGTCAATAGAACGCCGCAGAGTAAAGAAAAAGGGAAACTTCCTAAGCGATTTGTTACGCCCTGAGTTTTGATAAGGGTTCTAAACTTTTTTCATACGTCTATTATTTAAATGACCCGTAATAAATATCGGTTTTGTAGTTGAATTAGGAATTATGCGAGAAAATCGTGTATGGTATGCTTTATTATGGAATGGATCAATTACACTCCTCATCCTATTTGGTAAGTTGTATTACGAAAAAGTTGGTAATTTATGGAATCTTTGCTTTGATAAAACGAATAATTTTTTGCGCTCTCAACTCAATGGAGGTTTCCTTTTTTTTGAAAGAAAGTATATATCTGCTTGAGTGAGTTTGTTTCGCAAAGAAAAAAAAGTCACAATCCCCAGACTGAAGATAAGTAATCGGTTTTCTTCCTCCTCGTGACTAAAAGATTTACGTTTGTCGTTTTAGACGTAACAAGTACATTTCGACTGATAAAAACCCTTGTTTTCCATTTTTTTTTTCTAAATTAGTAACTTTACGTTGGTAACGCTGTTGCGGTCGATCCGTCGCCACCTCGATACCGATTCATCAAGCGGTTGGCAGCGCTGTTTTGACAAATTGATTTACGTTTAGCGAATCAAGTCATGCGGCGGCTAATCAGCGAGTCTAATTAATTAAATTCCCTCGCAGATAATCCCGCAGTAAAAGTGTAAACGCGCAAGAGATTCAGGGCCTATCCCTGATACGCAATCGGCGTACGGTCGAATGGAATAGATTGCTCAATTTAACAGCGGTTTGAGCAATATTGCTGAGGAGATCCGGCCGAATCAAAGCGGAAATAGTCCAAGTTTAACTTGTGTTCTAGGCATCTGCTATTTTTGTTATTAATGTAGTTGGTTGGGGATGTGGATTAATTAGATTTAATACACCACCCAAAACGTTCAAACGTTGACTCGAATAAGTATCAACATTATACATTTTTTTAATCGATTATTCACACAGAATCTCCATCACTATAATCTTCAGTAATAAAGCAACTTCATAAAAAACGCACTCGCAATTGGCCCGCCGGTGGTCTAACAAAGCCAACAAAGCTAAATCACATTCTCGAGCCCGGTTCTTTCAGTTTTAATATCTTTCAATAATCATAAAAAGCCCGGGGGCGCCGCGCCCCGCTGAATATATTAAAACTTCACATTTCCTCAAAGGAGTGAGCGGCCCCTCTCGCCCGCCGCCGCGGAAGTTTTTCTTACCGCGACAGTCGCGTAAAAATTTAATTAAACGGAAAAACGGGAAATGCAGTGGGAAATTTCGAATTACGTGCCGCCTCGAGCGGAGCCTGTATCGGAGGCGATCTTATAAATATTGATATAGAGCGAGCAAGAAGAGAACGAACGCTGGAAATTGATATGATATTCGATTCCGTTGTGTACCGAGAAAATATGCGGAGCTATTTGTTTGTCGGAAATTAGAATGCTACGCTCAATTTATTGAGCTCTCTCATCCCGATGCCCTAATGTTTGCTCAGGTAGCCGCTCAAACGGACGATGAATCTCGCTTATACAGAAAGTTATACAATCAAAAAAATATAGCATTCACTTGGTATTCACGTCCTGACAAGTCTCCTTTCTACACTCCAAATTAGCATTCGCTGATTTCCAATGAACGGAAAATATATTTCCTCGACGTATACCGAATTCGAGGTTACGCTCTGAGTCAGCTCAACGTTGTTCGGTCTCGATTCGAGGGATGTTTTTTTATTTTCGGTTCGCGTATGATGTTTTCGGAGTCCCGAGAGCGTTCCGTACAGTTGCTATTGATCCGGCCGACTTTTTCCATACAATTTAATTAAGCCGACATGAGCCCGAAAACATATGGGACCGCGGACATTAATGACCCGAAAACCGAATTGTCCGAGGAAAAAGCCGAGCACGGAGAGACTTGCACGCGCTACATGTGGAAATCATACGCGGTCCTGTTCATCTAAAGTATTAAAATTTTAAGGAAAGATCAGAAAGTATTTGAAATTAATAAGTGGTGTTAAATATAACAGATCAAGACTATAATTATTTCAAATCTATCAACAATACTTGTTTACTAGGTACTTGAATTTTTACTAATGAAGCTACATTAATAAATATACTCGAATTAAATCTTGGAAACTTTGGGAAGGCTATCAGTGTTAGAATATAAGGGTTGCTTGCTTAGAAAATCGAAGTGTGCCGGCCCCGTACGTTTTAAGTACTCCGGGTTATTAGATATGCAGCGTTTAGCTGAAGTAGAACGACGGGGAAGGTCAATTTGGGAAATTGGATGTCTAATGCAACGCTAGGAAAGTCCATTGCCTTTTCCGGAGCCGGCTCGTTGGCCTGAACCCGTATCTATAACGAAATTTCACCGGGAGGATGTTTGTTTTTCAGGGTAGACACGAGTATTTAAGCATACAGGGTGTTTGCTGATCATGGGTACAAAATAAAGGGCGAAAATTTGGTCTAGTTTTTCTATAAATTGTAAAAAATGTGATTCACAATGAAAGTAGATACAATTTCAGATATTTAGTTGAATTTCTTGGGAAATTTGAATACCTTGCGGGAAATGAAATCGTGCGGAAAAATCACAAGGGATAAAAAAGTTGCAAAATAAAGTTCTCAAGGCTTGTTTTTTTACTGTTAAATTTTTATGAATACAAAATTTGTAATAAAAAGTTTAATAAGGGATGTAAAATTCACTCCTTTTTTTAACACTGAACAATCAAAAAGATATAATTTTAAGGGATTTCTGCAAGCAGGAAACGTTCATTAATTATCGTGATTTTTATTGGGGTTGTAACTTTTTAGGGGTGCATTTCTGGTAGGTATAGTACACAGTTAAAAAAAAATAATAACTCAATACTAGATCAAGTAGATGCCAAAGGTACCATTAATAGAGTATGAAATAAATGATATATCAGGAGTGTATAATAATTTAATGCTCACTATATTCGTATACAAGGGGGAAACCAAAAGAAGACTCGATAACAAAAACTAAATACACTAATAAAGTAGACCTAATAATTTAATATAAGATTCACGTAGATGCCAAATATATCAATGATAAAGTGAGAAATCCATGATATACCTGAATTGTTTCATAATGTAAATCTCACATTATTCCTATACGAGGGGGAAGCCAAAAGAAGACTCGATATAACAGTAGGTAACTAAATAAGTAGTTATACTTTCTACAGTAAGCTTACAATGGGTAGAACTACAAACTTATTAATATTGTAATATAGATTCAAGTAAATGCTAAAGTTTCCTATAGTTAAGAAATCCATGATCTACCGGGAATGTTTCATAATTTAACGCTTACTACAAGCCTATATACGAGGGGGAAGCCAAAAGAAGATCTGAACAATAACTAAATACCTCTACGAGTAAATGTAAATATTGGAGGCAATCAACATTGAAATACTGAATGGAGAGAATCTCGTTCCTCAGCGAACGACGTCGTTCGATTCGGCAACATTGTCTTGGTAAATCTGCAAGGCGAAGAAACCTTCCCCACTTTGGGACATATAAAATAGCGTCGGAATGAATACTCGCTCTAGTGTTAATAGTAAACAAACGCGTTCTCTCGACATACCGTGAGGAATATTTGGTTATTTACAAACATGTAAGTCATTTTATTGCTAGTGTTAATCAAACAGTGTTGCTGAAGATTTCCCGAGTTAGATTTTATTCGCTATTTAATCCATTTTAATCCCTCGAGTGCAGTCGGTTCATTCCTAATTTTTGAATAGTATATTTTCGGTATTTACTTGTTGCAATAGTGTATATTTATTAGAGCGCGGTAACATTTAAAGAGAAACTTTATCCGAAATCGTTTTAACCGGGGAAAAAATAATTCATTTTACCTGCAAGTTGGGAAAAAAGCTTGTTTTATCTGACGCGATTTCGGTTCATAAAATCCAACGCGACCGAAAAAAAAGTGTAAAACTCGAGTAGAGTTTCATAAATTATCGCTCATTTTCCTCGCCATAAATTCGTGTATTTTCCGACTAGCCGTGAAAAATAAGCTTCGACGTGATAAATTAACTGATTAGGGCTAGGTGGCGCTCCCTCGCGTTCTTTGACGATCTCCCGAACTTTTTCCAAACAATATAATCAAAACACGGGATAATGAATGAAAATTTGAAAGGCCACGGTCCCGGGTTTTTTTCACCCTCTTTTCGGTGTCGTGTGTTCAGTTGAAAAAAAAATATGGAAATTCCAAGGGACAGTAAAGGAAATCCCATTACATTCGACGCTTTTTCATTTAATAAAATTTGCTAATGACGCGTGTCAGTGGTCAATCAAACAACCACAGACGTATTTCAAATATGATTAATTTTGAAAAATAAAATTCTATAACAGTACCTATTACAAAGCTATAAAAAAGTCTTATTAGCAATACGTCCCTGGATTTTGTTTCTACAAGTTTTGTTCTACCATTTTTCTCTTTGGAAAACACGTATGCGAGAGAATCGATACTGTAAAGTACACTCAAATCCCATCAAAATCAACTCGATTTATCGAAACAATTACAGAAATAATAAATCGATTTTATTAAATCGTAAAATTGCAGAGTTCTAAAGCGTTATACCGGTAATAAGTTCGAACAGTGTTTGAACTTTCCTCATAACGTCGAAACTTTGCGGGCTCTACTATTTTCGAAACGGAACCATCTCGTCTAATAAAAATCCATGATGTGCGATAATATACGGGCTTTTTTCATGATAAAATGTCATCATTTTGTAAAGTAGAGTAGATAAAAAAATAGTTCATGTGAACATTCGCTTTCTAACTGAATTAAGGGACTTAAATATTCGAGATCAAAACAAAAAAAGTTTCCTAATTTACGCCTACCAAGTTTTATAAAAATAATTTATATAGCTTGTGAATTAATAAAAAAAAATGATTATACGAAATGTCTTCATAAAATCCTACATAAATTCACTTAAAACAAAGACATACCATAATAAAACAAAGAATTTATTCCCTAAATAAACTGTCTATCACAGGACCTACAATATTTTGAGCAAACAATAGAACCAAACCCTCCGGAGCATCAAAAACTCCCCAATTACAATCGAAAGGATTAGGGCAGGTATAAGGCAAACGAGATGCTCCTTTTTCGCCCTGGAAATTAGGGAAGCGCCTTCCTTCGCCGGGTCCATTCCCGGCGAAAACGGCAAGGATAATAATTTAAGGGTGCTTTTCTTTCGCTATAAAAACAAGTGTATATACGCCATCCCCGTTTGTAAAACGGGACAATGGAGGTTTTTAGCCGGGGGTTGGAGGGTGTGCGCTTTCGGACGCTCGAGGCGTTTCGGCACTTTGCGAGAGCTCGTTGTTTGTTGTTTATCGTAAAACTAAGTTTATCGATCCCTTCCTATTTTCTTGCTAGGAATAGAGAAAAATTTTTAGAAGATATAATTTTTTTAACGGGGAATATTGGGTAATTAAAATTGCAATTAATGCGCTATATATGTATGTTAATAGAAATATAAGCGTAATTTTCCACTTAAAAAATTAACCAGTTCCGAAAATTCTTCCTATTTTCTTGATATAGGAGCAGAGAAAAATTTGTAGACGATATGTTACCTACCTACTGTTTATTTGAAATGAAAAATTTGGCAACTCAAATGAAATTAAAAACCTACGCTATATTAATGGAAATATATTGCGAAAATCTTCCTATTTTCCTGCCAGGATTAGAGGAAACGTTAAATTTTATATACGATATTACTTTTTTTAAGGGGAAAATTGGGTAACTAAAATTGAAATAAATGCGCTATATTAATGGAAATATGTGGGCAATTTTCCACTTAAAAACATATCTAGGTGTTATAATAACCGTAACTGAGTTTATCAATCTCAAAAAACTCTCCTGCTATTTTCCTGCTAGGAGTAGAGAAAAAAATTTAGATAATATCTATTACTTTTTTTAAAGGGGAATATTAGGTAACTAAAATTGAAATTAATGCGACATATTAATGGAAATATGTGGGTAGTTTCCTACGTGAAAAGTGCATCCAGTTATTATAAATAACCGCGTAACAAAGATTGTAATTCCCGAAAAATCCTCTCTATTATGAGTAGAGATTTTTTATACGATATTAATACTTTTTTAAAACAGGAAAATGAGGTAACTGAAATTAAAAGAAATGCGCTATCAATTCCGAAATTCCTTCCTATTTTCCTGCCAAGAATAGAGAAACATTTTAGATGATATTACTTTTTTAAATGGGAAAATTGGGTAACTAAGGTTGAAATAAACGCGCTGTATTACGGGAAATATGTGAGTTTTCCCACTTAAAAACCCATCAAGTTTATTGATCCAACAGAAAATTCTCTCTTCCTGCTGAGAGTTTGAAAACATCTTTAGATAATCAAATTTTAACTATACGAAAATGAGTGGGTCGTATTTCAATTAAAAACAGATCAAGATATAAGTTTAACAATCCCGAAAATCCTCCATATTGACCTTCTACGAGAAGAGAAAAAGTATTAAACAATATTTTGTTTTTAACAGGAAAATTGGTTAACCAATAGTGAAATAATTGCGCTATATTTAATGGAAATATGTGGGTAGTTTTCCTCTTAAAAACACATCAAGGTATCACAATAACCGTGACATTTACAACATTCGTAGATACATTTTCTACTAACCTAGACCTACAAAACTATTATGCAATTATTAAAACACCTAATCGACACCGTCTAATTAGCTACACAAATTAACAGGAAGTGGCCGAATGTCGAATACGTTTCGGAAATGGAACCGGTTCTTTCGAATTCCACCGCATATCGCAATGATAAAGTGCATAAACGTGCGAGAGAACGGTCTCTTTTGGGCCGTCGTTCGTGAACTCAATTCCTCTCTCCTTTACGAATCCCGTGCATGAAACTACCCAGTCGGCCTTGTCTTCACGGTAACACAGCCAACAATGTCGAATGGCAATGACTGCGTTTCGTCGAGACGGTTTTATTTCCTGGACCCGGCCCTATTCGATTCCATTACGATGTCGATGAGAAATCAAGTTTGTCTAGCAATTATTGTTTTAGTGAAATGTCAACAACGTTACCAAACAAACAATTCCTTTGATTAAATTTGTGAGCTGTATAGTTATAGAAATAGAATGAAAAACTGGTTGATATTTCAGTAGATACAAATTACATATACACATATTTACTAATGTTTTTTTTTAAATAATTCAACGTTCTATTTACCATAGGTAATTTAACGATACGTCCTTACTATCGTTTTCTCGTGAGGTTTTCTACAATTATGCGGCATTGACCGTACGTCAATGTTATGCAGATCTTATAAAACCTCAATTTGAATTCATCGCTCGTTCGTAACGCAATTTCGTTTTTGTCGTGTAAAAAATAAAAATTTCTGTATTTATTCTGCGCACTTTCACTAACGGCCCATTGCCTAACTGATCATATTACATTCGTATCCAAGTAGGATGTAATTACCTGATGAGCGAATGTTTGTTTAATCGGAAATTCTATTACCAATAGTAACATATCGATTGGTCAATATTTTAATTATGTAAGGCAAAGTACCCTTGAAGCATCCTTTTTATTCCACTCGTTTAACCACACAGGTATGAATGATATACAGGGTGTAAGACAAAGGAGGGTCATACATATTCTGAAGCCAAAATTAAGTCGATTGGACTTAATTTCAATAAATTCAAAAGTATCTAAAGCCAATGCTAACAAGGTATGACGTAATAGAAGGGTTACAATGAACGTACCATACGTTCGCATTATCGTCCGAGGTAAAACAACAAAAAAAAACACATATTGGGGAAATGAACCAAGACGTAAACCCGACCGTTTTACACTTTCTCGCTCCACATGCGATCGCCGATAACTCGTCAATTTACAAAACGTCCGATCGAATGTTACAGAAAACAATGAAATCGTACGTGACGTTGGCTGTGATCGCCGTCCTGGCGTCGGCGTCGTCTGTCAAAAGCATTCAGTTCTTCAACGGTGACCAGAACCTCCTGTCGAGCGGCCCCTTCGCCCACCAGCAGGCTTACAATCAACCGCAAAATGTAAGCAATTTTTATTTTTCATTCAGGGTGATTTTTAAAAACATACCAACTCCTCTAATAACACTGCGACAATTTTTTTTTCTTATTTTTAAATAACATTTTTATAAACAACCAATTACTGTCAATTTGGGCCTGGACTAATTCATTCTAGACAGTTATAAATCAATCTCGGCAGTTCTAAATCATTTTGGACAGGTCTGAATCATTCTAGACAGTTGCAAATGGTTCTCGACAATTATGATTCATTCTAAGGAAATCTTAATCGTTTTAGGCAATTCTAAATCATTTTGGACAGTTCCAAATCATGCCAGATAGTTCTAAGTGGTTTTAAACAATTCTGATTCGTCCTGAATTCCTGAAATAATCTAATAGATCCTGGACAGTTGTAATTCATTTAGAGCGTCCTATATATCATTTCGACAGTTCTAGATAGTTCTCAATAATTCTGATTCATCCTGAAGTAATCTAAATGATTTTGGTCAATTCTAGATTGAAAAATTTTCTCACACAGTGTAATCGTAGGTACTTAAATTTTATTTGATCGAATTTTCCAGGGTCTGGAACATCCGGCTGTAGTTAGAAATTCGATCGCCGAATCGCAATTACCTCACCAATTGAAAAATCCGTTTTACAATAACCCGGTTTTGGCGTCCGCCTTGGCGCAGGAATCCTGGTTCGGTGATAAGGAGTTCCCTGTACATCACAGGGAGGCCGAGCGGATATCCAGAGAGGAGATCTACAAGATCATTTCCAGATTGAGGAGTTAGACATTTTAGAAGTTAGTCGATTGACAGCTGTCGATGATGCGTTGATATTTAACGATGACATGATGCAGCTATTATTTAATTGCCACTTGATTTGGGACACTCATTAATTTTATTATGATTTTTAAGTTAATTAAAAGATTTATATTTAATAGATATTTTTTTATTTATTGATGTGTGTATAAATTATTTGTAAATAAGCTAAGCTATTTATAATGTAGTGTATATGAAACAATGTAAAATATACAATACTATTCATTTATCTCAATCGATACTATAGTATCTGTCAATGAAATTTTAAGTAGGCACTATAAATCTAATTGACAACTTTAAATAAACCATAAACCATTATTATTGCCTACAATACCAACTGTTTTTTAACAACAACTGTGTTAAAAGTTGGTATAGAATTGATATAATATAGTTAAATAAATGGCATTGTATTTATAGAAATATTTATTACTATCGTATTGATATTAAAATAGTTTGCTCAAAATAAATTTTATTTTTCCTCTTATTGGACTTCATAAATTGCGTTGAAATATAGAAAATTAAAGCCTCGTATCGAAAATTATTTCTACATATTTTAGTTATTTTAAATAATAAATTAGAAACATATTTTAATGACAGAGCTTTTTAATTTGTCGAAATAATGAAAATTGTAGAAATATTTTTTTGCAAATAAATTGATGGTACTTCAAAATTACTGCATAAAATTCATTGCCTCCCAGCAATTTCACTAATGAATCGCTGCTTTTCATACCAGTGTTTTTTTCGCCTAAATAAAACGCGTTTTCCCAATTACTTTTACCTAAAACATCCAACGGAATAATTAATCCACCATTAGTACGTAATATTTTTGAATAAATTTCGAACAAATTAATGGAAACGTAATTTAGTATATAAAGAAAAAAATACGTATTTATAATTTGTGAAAGCAAAACTCATAGTCCAGTTAATGTTTCGAGCAAATTTCATATTCAAAGTTAAACATAACTATAGTTAAAAACCGTTCTGAATAACTAATATTAATCGCCTCGTAGAGTTTCTATTACAACATTCCAACCACCTATAGCCGTAAAATTTACCTCGTTTCACTTCCCGTTACCGAGAGTGTATAAATTTCATTTAGTACATCTTTCGAAAAATAAACGGAAAATTTAATTCGAACCGTACCCGCCTCCAGAGCGAGGAACTTTCTGATTTAAAATTAAATTAAAAAACAGAAGTTAATATTTACTCCGTAAAAATACGCTTCCATCCGCCCAATAATATATTAAAGTAAAAAACTTTAAAAGCTCTTCTAGCAACTTTAATTTCGAAAAGCGAGAGGAGTAAAAAAATTCTCGCATATTCGACCCCGAGGCGATTTATTTGCGTATATTACTTTCTATTGATATCAACATTTTCACCCTGTTGGAATATGCTGAAATTTCCCCTTTATGAGCGTTGTTTCGAAATTGGACTTTTAACAAGTATTTATTTCGAAAAGAGCACCGGAATACTTTACTTCAACCGGTCGTTAGAGTGTTTAATTAACTTTCAAAACATCGACTGCATTAAAATCGTTTTAGATGATAATCCGTTTAATTTCCCAGCGAACTTTTCGATAATGCAGCTTTTCTTCCTAGTTTACGGCCAATTATAAAAAAAGGGCTCTATAAATCTACTTTACGCGCCGTTGAATAATACATCAGGTAAGCCCTTCGCCTATACGCAACAATTACAACAACAATATTTCTTGCATAATTAAACCTACTATGTAAACTCATCGTTCAACGTAAGTATACACTTCAACTTGGCGAAATTTTGACGAGAACGAGGATAATGTATCCCTTAAATTTAAGGGAGTTCGCGTTATATTCGACTTGATTTATGGTATTTGTTAGGGGAGTACTTTATTATGTACAAATTGCTTTTTTTACCGCGCACGGCTCTCCAGCGTACTGGAGAATTTAAAATATTTAAAGACGTCTCGCGTCGTTGTCAGTCGTTCTTTGTTGTATAGTTTACGAGTTCATTATTTATTTTTCGTGTATTATTCCGAGCTGGAGCTTGAGGATCTTTATTTTATGGTTAGCGACTATCTTGTAGTTTACCGAACGTTCTTAATAAAGCATCGAAAATTTGCTTGGAGAAAGTTCTAAATTAGCTGTCGCACACAGCTTAACATAAAGACATTTTTTATTAATACTGGAATGTAACATTTTATAATAAAATATTGATCCGGTTGAATTTATGCATTTTTAAGCCATTGAGCACAATTTGCATACAAAGAGTATAGAAACTCCGGAAGGCAAGTTACTCAATATTAAATTTGCGAGATTGTTAGGAGAAGCTTCGAATACACATGTTTGAAGCAGCAGAAGCCTTTAATAAAAATCAAAGTCAATTGAGAGATGAATTGATTTTACCTCGGCTTCCAAGTTCTACAATAGAAACAGACAATCTATGCATATGAAATCGCATTCTAGAAAATGGATATTGTGTTTATGTTTTTTAAGTAAGACTTCCAAAGACTTCCTAAAGTAATATATTGTTATTACTTGAGATGCACATTAGAAAAAGAAAGAATTAATTAAAAAAGAATTAATTAAACTAGTATTTAAATAAAATAAAAACCTAAATCTAAAATACAAGAAAATAGAGAGGATTAATTTAGATAACAACCTAAAATAAAGTTTTTATTAATAATATGCTCTTAATTGATGTAAAAATAATACTAGCTAAATTTCAGGAAGATTGAAGGATTGATTGAATACTATTAAGAGTTGTAGAAAAAAATCCATTTTTAGTTAGCATATTTTTAGACAGTTTTGGATTTAGACAATGGATTGAATTTTGGCCCACCTTTTTGTTACATCCTTTAAAAAACTTTACATAAATTACTATTTTTCCTAATACTACAATAATAACAGATTTATAATCTAGCTATTGAATCAAGTTATATTATGAGTCATGTTTCATTTCTATAGCTTGCAAGCCTATTTACATATTATAGTACATACACAAACATGTCCAATAACTACAGGCTATTCCCTCCTATTTAATTCGAGCAAAATTGTAGCAAAATGTTTTACGTTCTATGGTTAGTAATTTTGACAAAGTAAAACAAAACACCTTAACATCGCTGGAAAAAATCCCTCTAATTTTAAAGCCCCGACATTCGTTGAATAAACCCACTCGACCGTGCGCGCGCTTTTCCCATCCCTTTTCTCATTTAGAAAATATTTTTGACGAAAGATGAAAGTTGTATTTTTTTCCGAGCGAAATAAAAACCACCCGACTGTAAATCCGTTGTCGTATTTATGTATTTTTAAGAATCCCCCTTTCGAGCGCTATTATTGTTATCATACCTGCGTTCAGAAGACATAAAAACGAGCGAATATCTTCCTCGACGTCCATCGTGAGAGCACCTACATTATTTCCATTACCGTGGAATCTTAAACCTTTATTTTTAAATTCGTAATTTCAGCCATAACGATCGCCTTGTATGCTTAAAACCCGCCAAATGCCGCGGGTAACATTATACGCGATACTTTCCGTATTCGAAACAGCCCTCGGGAGAAGTCATCCATGAAGGAAAAAAAACGAACTTCCACCCCCGGACCGCTTAATGGTGAACCTAGAGCGGCCTTTATTCGGAGTAGGTAAACGTCGAAACGGCTCCTTTTTTCGCATAATATAACGAATCCAGAAGTTGCGCGACGAAGTTAAGAATCCGTAAAATCCGCCTTCGAAAGGCAATACATGTACGTTTATCCCTCTTTAGATTTCCTATGTATATGAGCTTCCGAAGTTCGGTAGTCGATTTCACGGGTAGCGTGTACGTATCGAGTAAGTTTCCATCGATAACGTCGGAGTGAATTATGATGTTTCGATTGCGCGTACACGGGGATTCGAAAGTGTTGCTAGTGGTGCAATTTTGCAATTGGAAGCATTGCAATGTAAGAGAAGAACCGATTGTATTAATCTAATCGATAAGTTGTAAATCGATTATGGAAAGGACCTGAAGAATTTTTTTAATTTAACATAATAGGTTATTATGAATGTTTGTGGTTTTTGACATCAAATCATGAAAAATGAAAATGAAAATTCGGCTGAAAACTTTATTGGTATTAAATTTATAGATATAGGTAGGTACATCATTTTGTTCTTGGTCCCTTATGAATTATGAATAAATAGATATTAAATGACTATTATATTCAATAAAACCACTCACCTAAGCGTGTACTTGTATACCTTGTGCAATACCATGTAAAAATAACTTTAAAAAACTAACCAATTAATCCACAAATCTACATGTATATAATGAACAAACATTACTGCTATAAGTAGGATTAAATAAGTTAATGAAAAACAGGACGGAAAAAAAACCTGAGCATATTGCGATTTGTCCACGTTAATTCAATACCTCGCTGCATAAACGCCGGCTAATAAATTTTTAATTAAAGCAGCATTTGCATGCACTCGCATTTTGGTACATTATTACGAGAGATCGGCGTCGCGTCCCTTCGAAACCGGAGTCAAACGAATTTCGCAATTCAATTTTCAGTTTTCCAGTTAGTTTTAATCGAATGAACGCGGCTTTTTAGGCGCCCATCGACATCAAAAGATACATCCTTTCGGCTTTTACTTTAAAAACTAATTTAATTTTCTCTACTACTAAGAATTCGACCTCATCCCGTCTCTCGCTAATTCGAAGACGTATAATATAATGCCGGTTCTGTAATACTTGCATTTTGTTTGATGTGCCCCTTTGGGAATTATTTTATTTCTTTCAAATTGCTTCCTAATCGAATAGGCAAAATCTCGAAACTTGCGAAAAAATCGCAATGTGGCAACACTGAGAAATATAGCAGTTAGTGACGTCATATCCGAATTATTATGAACCTACTATAGATAGATACATTTTTTATAATGTTGTAAGGTATATAAAACACTAACCTTATCTATCCAATGTCGATTGTGCGGCATAAAAATCCTGCGAAAAATAATGAAAAGTTAGTACTAAAGCGATAAATTTGAACAATAATTTCGTATACGTATTTGTAATTAAGTACAGAAAGTCCTTTGACGAATAAAAGCTTCGCGATAAACCTCATTGA